TGTTTTGAGAACGGAAGGAACTTTCCAAACCTCCACAAACTAAGTCACATTCCCCATGATACTACCGAGAATGTATATATCCACATCAAAATATTATCACAAAGAGACGTCAAATAACAGAACAAAGGACTGCTCACTCGTTCGTTACCTACTAACGTCACCTACTTTCATGAAATGAATTAATTCCTGACAAACTGAAACCGCATAATTTCAGAGATTACACACATATTACAGATCTTTATACGAAGGTAAAGCTATCCCTGTAACAGGCAGTCCAGGCGAGCTGGTTGGTGTTGGAAGCTGGTAGCGAGGCACGGGGATAGTTCGGGAACCCAGAGTAAGGAGAACGTCCGCAATTGAAAGCCGTTACCAAGCAACGACTGATGAAGACACAGGAGACTGAGAAGGCTTAGTACATATTGTAGTAAATTGCAGAGTGTGAAATAGCGACAGCATTACAATTACGTGTAGCTACGATCTGTAAGTTTTCAGTAAACCGAATTACCAATCCGAACCCCGATTACAGTCACTTAAATTCGTGACAATATTATGAACTTCCTTAGTTGTTGGGAGAGAAATATATGGGTGCAGTTCTACAAGCTATCCAGTCCAGGTTGTTAACTGAAGTCGGAGCATACCCACCGCAGAGATACGCGTATTGCTCCGGATTCTGAGCGGCCAGGAGTTTCTCTATGCTAAACCAAATTGCATTGGACGTGAGCGAAATGAGTTTCTGTAAAAAGGATGGGCAGGGGGTGCGCAATGGGGGCTAGAACAAATATCTTATAGAGGGCGGAATCAAAGTTCGTTTTTTTTTTCGAGGCTTACACGTAATGCAAGTGTCACAGCCATTCTACACGCAGCATAAGTAACCCGAAAGGGTGTTCTGTTTCTTTCCTGAGTTCACGGACATATTCAGGTCTCTCACTAACAACAGAAGTTTCGCTCTGGAAAGTTCCTGGCCCTCTCAGTTAAGTTATGGTACAATGGTTAGAAGAATGCTCATTAACGTGTGGGACTCCACCGTCGGCTGTGTGGAACGTGGCGTCTAAATGTAGGAATTACTTCCGTAAGACGAAGTTCAGTTCCAGGAAGCTTTCCTTGGCTTGTGTGTAATGCGTTCCTCTGCTGCAGTATATGGAGAACGGCCGAGTGGCTAGCAGCTCACAGAACGTTTCACGTTGTACTCCTACGTTGTTTCCATGTTCATAAAAGTAAAAAGGTAAAGTTGTCCCTGTGCTTAACTAATCAAGCACTGCGCCATGAAGACGTATAGGGGAGCGGATGTATAGATCCACATTTTCTTGACCTTCGTACTAGATAGTGGCAAATGATCAGCTTCACGCCCCGGCCGCTTTACCCCGGGAGAAAGAGCCCGCGGTACCCATTGGATAGGAGGCTGGGTGGGGCCTAGAGCAGTTCTGGACGCTGAAGAGGGAAGAAAATTCTTGACCCTGTCGGGAAACAAACTCCGACCGCTCGTTCGTCAAGCCCGTAGCCAGTCGCTATCTAGGTTCCATTTCTATATACGCAAAATAATAAACAATATAACAGAAATTTAATGCAATCTTTAAGTTCCTAAGACCTTTCATTAATGATTAATTTCTTTAGTGGGTTACTTGCAACGCTGTCTCTGTTTTTCTGTTTACACTCCTAGTGTCAAATGGTGGAAGGATTAGAGAATGAATTGGAAAGGATTTGGAGGAAAGCGGTTGTTACTTAGCAACGGCCGCTGTTCACAGCGTCACAGCTTATCAACGGGTATATGCACCATAATAGTAACAACCACTTCAATTATTGCAAATGTTAAGAACACGCGAGCTGATTACTATTCCACATCCGTTAGTAGTTACAATTCGAGCCACCAGATGTCAACACTTTATAAAATTCCCACGTCTCCATCTTCACGTGGAAATCAGATACGACAGCTCTAGTTAGGGGGCATTTTGGAAGAGGCTTCACTTAGCAGAGGGGGCCGGAAGAGTGGTCGATGGGGGCCTGGTCTTCCTGAAGACGATGTCGAAGGTCTTATATTCGAGTTTTGAGTCGTTAATCAGAAACTTATGTGCGTAAGTCTAACGGGGGTTATTTTCATAAGATTATAAGTCACGAAGTCGTGGATCGAAGTACGAATCTTTCCGTCTGCAAAACTAAGGCCGCAAATAAATCTTAGCTGGATGCAAGTAGGAAACATGAACTAAAATACTATCATCTTGGATGTGGATCCGTGTAGTCTGGTACAAATTTACAAACGTTTCGGAGGAACGGACTGCCGTTTTCTTTGGTATAAAATTGTAAGCAGAGCGACCAAGTAAGCAGGGAACAGGTAAGCGTTGTTTGTTCGCAGCACGGAGCTTCCTTAATTACCTGTAAGTTTGAGACTTCGACCCTGAAGATGGAGGCAGTACGTACCTCCGGAAATTTGAAAAATCCGTACCAGACTGCACGAAGTTGTTACTCTTCATGGATACCGGAGTGGGAACCTTAAATCTCAACACCCTAAAGGCCTAATATTTTTTAGTCCGTAGGGTTTTATGCCAATTCATTGTATATCACGCAAGCGGTATATATTGTGTGAATTCTAAAGCAGTTACATGTCCGTAAATGCATGAAATGAACCACCAACACCGTCGAACGGGAAAATAAAATGTAACGTACGTACACATGCACGGAAGATGCTAATACATTAGCGCCATCTCTTGGGCTCAACTGAAATCAAATGCTTCTGACACACTCGTGACCACGCACAATGGCCGAACTCATTCTGCCATCTAGAAGCGATCGATCGAACTGCCACTATTAGCCTATCCTGACTCCTAATGGAATTACCAGCGCCATCTAGTACAGACTACACGAAGCTAAATTTACACACAAATTTTTTATAAACGGAAAAGCAATTCAGGCAATTTCTCCGTACATATTTAAAAGCAAGACTTCAGAATTCTATGGAGTTTGCTTTTCATAAGCAGTGGGTGGGAACACCTGAAGGGGAAATTCCCACGTAAAAGGTAGGATAACATTAAAATGGATATCACAGTAACCGAGTGTTACTGTGGACTGGAGTCATTTGGCCTCCAACATGGGCCAATGGTGGGCTTCTACATCTTTTCTTTCCTGAAAATTCGAGGAATTTCTCGACTAGCTGAGTGACTATCAGCTTCTGATCCCTGGAACACACTACGTCACCTGCTTTCGTTTCGTCTTAACTGTCAATGTGAAATTACAGATTGCTGTTACCAAATTAAATTTATTCATTATTATTTGGAAATTATAAATTTACACAAATTTATAATACCTTAATTAAACATACTCTGGCATGTGGATTTTTGCTAGGCAACGACCACGAAACAAACCACTAAACCACGTCCGTTACTAGGCAACGACCTGTAAAGAGCAACAGCTAACGGTGTTTTCTGTGCGGTCCGTAACGAGATGTTATTAGCAGGACAATTAATGACAGTCGAAAATAGTATAGGCTTAAACTTGCCGGTGGTCAAGCTTATGACCGTTCAAGTGACTAAGCTACCGTTATATTAAATAAGATATGTAAGATTGGTATGATTTGCTTTGCAAAGCCTTGGCTGACCGAGGATTTATATATGGTGCAAAAGGAAGACATTTCAATAACACGCTATATGTGCAATACGTACACTAAAAGAAGGCCAAGAATATTCATAAGAGGCAAACCCATCTTCTCGTCAGAGTGGATGTTAAGTAAGGGTTCAGTTGGAAAAGAAAATTCTGGCCGTGAGCCTCCAAGGGATTGGCGTCAAGACGAACTGTTTGGCTGTAAATCGCCGGTCGTAAAGAAATTTTGAATTGACCTGGAGTCAGAGAGTTCGTCGACAGGTCGGTAGATCGGTCGAGGAGCATCCACTGTTCGACTACGTGCCCAAGCAACGGCTAGTGAAGGTCGTGACGAAGAACACTAGCCTGTACGTAATAGTTGTTTGTAAAGTGTAGTCACGAATTATTTAAGAGTTTTAATAAACTCGATTACAAATCCAAACTCCGTCTATAGTCACACTCTATCACGTGACAATTTTATCTGCTCTGGCGTAACAACAATTTTACTTTATAGTTTTATATTTCATTTTCTCAATTTGTCTTTGCTGTCCATGTAGTTTGAAATTTGAAGGTTTCAGGAATACTGACGTTAAGAACCCTTTATTCATGGGACACTTGCTATCAATATAATCAGTTACCGAATTTTCATAGACAATGCTTAATGCTGATACTGCATCTACTAATTATATGCTTTAGACATGCATATGGAATGTGGAAAGTTATAAAAAATAACGATCCTAAGGAGGCAGCATTTTCCTCCGAAATGTCGGAATCAGCCCATACAACTACACTGTTACAGCCCCGAAACAACGCTATTAACACCGCCTTGAAGTAAGTCCTTATCAACGTTTAGGATGGAAGCGACACTAGCCCCAATCACTTACTGCTGGGCCAACCTACTAAGCCCTTGTGAACGTTTAGGATGCAAGCGACAATAGCGCCAACCACTTACTGCTGGGCCAACCCACTAAGTCCTTGTGAACGTTTAGGATGCAAGCGACACTAGCGCCAACCATTTACTGCTGGGCCAAGCCACTAAGTTCTTGTGAACGTTTAGGATGCAAGCGACACTAGCCCCAATCACTTACTGCTGGGCAAACCCACTAAGTCCTTGTGAACATCTAGGATGGACGCCATACTAGTGCCAATCACATGTGAGGTGCAAAATGTGGCACATTTTTATGTCAGTAATACCGACCGTGACAAGAAGAAAATCAAACATTGTACTTTACATATGAGAAGCGAAGGAGATGACTTTCCGACACGCAGCATTTTCCTATCAGCTGACAACTGATAATGACAGCATTGCGAGTAGACATACTTCAACTGTGGAGATAACTGACGTTGCAGGGGACGTACGAGTAACATTCAAAGAAGATGTGCACTATGGTTTTCAGAATATATTTATTTCTATTCTCAAGAAGTCCTGTTATTATACTAAGCTGAATATTATTCGTGCTAGAGACAGTTGATTTTGCATGTGTACTTTGTATAACCAGAACAAAAAGAACACGGTTCACTGGCTACAATACACGCATTCTTGTTTAAGAAATATAGTTTAAGTGCTTGCAGTATTAGAGAAAATATAGTATTTTCGTGCCAGAATCAGTGGTTGTTAAATTAGCAGTCTGTGCAACTAGAATTTCATGTGAATACAGCCTACTGCTACTTGCGAAACACTGGGAATGTTAGGTTTAGTCCTCACTAAGAAAAGCGGGCTGCGGAGTGCGCTGTTTGCTTCCCTTTTGCTGTATTGTATTGGGCTCATTCATTACACGTGGCAGCAGTCATCCTCTATTCATCATAGAGTTGCTTCAGAACAGCAAAATAGGTGTACACAGTGTTCAGCATCTGAAAAGCATGTTCAGAAAAGAACAGCTCTCTTCATAAACAACATAGGTTGTTTTGGGGGGGGGTTGGGGGGTTCTTTTATAGTTTACTCTTGTTAATAACGATAAGGGAAGTAATTAGAAACGTAAGACTGTAAAAGCAATAACAAGTGTAACAATGGCTCAAATGTCTATGGCCACAACAGCAACAATAAAAAACCCTCCGTGATATCAGTCCGGAAGCGAACCATACCGACCGAGCGAACACCGCTTGTCGGCGAAGTTTAGTGTCAACTTTTGCGGATAGAGGGTTTTGCGTGGTCAGCGCAACGAATTTCCACGGCCGTTAATTTCGGTTCTCAAGACCGGGGCCGCTATTTCCTTGAAATAGCTCCTCAATTATCCTCAAGAGGTTGAGTGGACACCGTTACAGACCCACTACTTCTCTGACAAAAATTTGGTAGCGCCGGGAATCGAACCCGGACCTATAATAATAATTCAATTCTATACTTCAGCGATTGCGAACAGTAAGTAGCCTGTAACAGACGAGCAATACAAAAGTTTTCAGAACTAAGAACTGAAGGAAAACTAGTAACCAAAGCACGAATGAAATTACAAATAACACGTTAAAATAATAACGCAGGAAATAACGGAAATGTTCGTTAGGGAAAAAATTCCCTTTCACAAGATCATCTACATACAAATGGGCATATGCTGCTCGCAGCTGTGGAATATCAAGACGAAGGGTCAGATCTTGAATTATTTCTCATGTTACAAGTTGAAAATGCCCTTAATTTGGTTGGAGGATACAAGGGGACAAACAGTGTTCTTACTGGAACAGCAGTTGATTTTGTGACTCGGAAAGTTAAAAAGAAATAAATCGTCGACATTTTTTGGTCTAGAATAAAAGGTACTGACGCCCGAATGTTTCAGAACTGAATCATAATTACGAGGAAAGCTGACTGAATATAACAATTCATTTAATTCTTGTTTATGTACGTGCAAACCTAACAGCCCAGATGCCAATTACAAAGTGGGCGCGAGTAAAAAAGGAAAACACATAATAATAATAATAATAATAATAATAATGAAGAGGAGGAGGCCTACCTGGGTGAATGTCGTGAGGGACACTTCGTAGAACATGCCTGCCTTGAGCCGCACGGGTTTCTGGGTCCTCATGATGACCACCGCCAGCAGACGATTGAAGCTTCTTAGGCGGTGATACCAGGCGCATCCATAGGCTGCCTGTTGCACGGCCAGGCTCTGTGTCCCCCAGAGATATATTATTCTATTTACATGTGAAATAAGAAGTTCTGGGAAGAACTAATGGTCTACTTTGAATATTTAGTAAAAGTAGAAAGCAATTTCTTTATGTATGCGTGAAGTAAAATTAAAACACAATTCCTGAGGCTGTAGCGTTGGTGTTAACGATAAGAGGGATTTATGAAGTGCACCGTTCAGATGGTACGATATGCATCAAAGTTTTATGAAGATTCGTTAAGGCATTCAAGGAATATTAAGTTCATTACATAAAATATTTTAGTGACATGATGTGACGATTGGTTTATGCATTTAAGTAGCACTAAGATTATTACTGCAATAATTTGAGAGGCTGTAATGTTGGCATCACTGAGGGGAGAGATTTAGGAAGTGCGCTGTTTTGATGGGCTCAGGTACATCTGCTCCCGAGGGTAGCAATGCCCCCCCCCCACATACGTCACGAAATGTAGTACTTAACTAACCACAAGGAATATATCACCTCTTGTATGATGTCAGTTCCGAACCAGCAGAACATCAGAGGGCCGCATGCCGCGGCGGCCAGCCCCAGAACGAACTTGAGCACGCTGTTTCCCTGCCCCCAGGTCTGCAACAAAACCACAAAATGTCTCTTGACTTTCCTTATAATGAACGCCCAGTTCAGTTCTCTTCTGCGTGATGTCTACACACTGTTTAACGAGGGGCACGCGATAGCGCAGTTGGTTGAGGCAATATGCTACAAGCCGGAAGGTCGCGGGTTCGATTCCCGATGAGTTCACTGGATTTCTCAATTAACCTAATCCTTCCAGCTGCATTATGGCCCTGGGGTCGACTCAGTCTCTAACAGAAATGAGTACCAGGAATACTCTTGGGGATAAATGGCGACCGGCGCGTAAGGCAAACAGCCGCACCGCCATCTGTGAGCCGATTGTCTAGAAAATGTGGGGACCTCAACTTCTCACAACCCTATGGGCCTCCACGGCCTGTTACAGGGACAGATTTACCTGTGAGACCAGCAACGTGCATTTAAATGTACGCTTGACTTTGTTTTGATGTGCGGAACTGTGCTTTTAAACGTCGCTGGTACAGGCGCGCTCGGAATCGTGAATCATAATTATTTAAATATAGTAACATTCGATGTACATACTGCTTCTTGTTTTTATGTATAATCTTCAGTCCTGCGCCATATGACTATTTCTCCTTGTGCTGTAGCATTCCTCAAGGCGCCCCAAAATACAAAGATTAAGTTCACAATTCACGGCCCTGTCATTGTGTACTACTTGCTCTATCGCCTTCCAAACGGAGTTCTGTATGATGCAATGAACTGTACGAAATTAGTATCAACTGGGGACCCAATACAACGAAGACTTATGCACTTGCTACCACAGTTTTCTTTTATTGCTAGTGGGGTGGGACTAAGTCCCTTGTACTGCGGCCACTTCTGGCCTATTGTACCAGCCCCAGATGATAAGTGAGGGTGATTGTGGAGCAATTGGTGGAATGAAGATTGGCAGGGGAAACCGAAGTACTCTGAGAAAACCTGCCCCAGCGTCACTTTGTCCACCACAAATCCCACTTGACCAGACCCGGGATCGGGAAGACAGCGACTAACCGCTTGAGCTATGGTGCGGCCCTGAAAACACCATGTCTCGTCACCAGTAACAATCGATTTTGCAAATTTTGTATCACTTTTGGCCAACCGTAACATGTCTTTGCAGTGTTTCACTCTGGCATGTTTTTCATCGTCTGACAGCGCGTGCGGTACAAACCGCGCACAGACCTTCCGTTTGCCCAAATTCTAGGTCAAAATTTGATGTACAGTACTTTTCGGTATTCCCAAAAGCTCCTCGATGAGTCTTGCAGAAACACATCTGTCTGATGCAAGGATTTCGGTCACTTCAGTGCGACTTGTTCTCGGCTTTGATGCACGTGGAGCGTCTCCGATGTCCTTCCTGCCGTCACGAAATATAGCATACCATTGAAAAATGTTCGATCGACTCAAACAATCACTACCGTACAAACTTTTCATCATTTCGTAAGCTTCTCCGGCTGTTTTACCTAACATAAAACAAAATCTGATGTTGGCTCTCTGTACAACCGCCATTTTCCGACGAGTGTCAGAACAGTACTGTTACATTCATCGTCAGAACACATAACGCTTTGAAATTATAGACAGCCAAAGCTGAATCTTCAAGAATCTTAACGTCACAACTCGCCAACAAATGGCATTGCAGGGAGAAATAAAAAAAAAAGAGTCCTAACGAATCCTGGATACCCGCGTATATTACTTCCAAATTTCAAATATGTAGGTTTCCAGACAATTTGTTTCAAAGTGAAGAATTTTACAGAAAACTAGGGGCTGGCAAGCGAAATGATGGAAAATCAATAGAGCTTGTAACAAATCCCAGGTATCTCTGTGGCGGCGCGTTAAACAAATGAAGCTCTGAACAGTCTAGCATTTCACAAATAAAAGAATGGACTCATGAACTTCGCATCGTTTTATTTTTTCAACGAAGAGCCTACAAATAATCAAACGAACCCCATCTCTACGTGCGTGGAGTGTGATTACTTCTATGGCTGCAAATGAACCGCGCGTGTGGCCACCGTGTCACCTCACCTCACTCCGTTATTCTGACCTGCGCACACGGACGAGAAAGTAGGACTCGTGTGGGCTTAGCCTTAAGCCTTCTTCAAATATCGGAATGAAGATCAAATTGAATTCCTTGCTTCTAGAATTCCGAATGGAATTGCTGTTCTGTTTCTTCAACCATCGAAACAAAAGGAGAGAGTTTCCATATCCGATTCTGGCTGGTTGCTTACAGTGATCAGATTGGCGGGGCTTGTCTAAATGTAAGCTTCACGCACAAGATGGATGGGCTAATCATGTTAGCCTGCTTTCACTTAGTTGCGTAATGGCAAGGAACTCAAACTACAGATATATCGACAAATGAGAGTCAGTGTATAAACAACACACTTAAAAGTAAGCACACAGTGAATTCATTAGAACCAAGTAATCAAATTGGATCCACAGAATCGGCCTTGAAAGACTAAACCAGAAATACAGATTGTTATGTGAACAACTCGTTGGCCACACATCTGGTCGAAGAAAGGCGCATCTGCTAAACATAGAATACATACACATATAAGAACAGAAAGGACGGTTGTCTCTCGTACAGGCCTCACGCAGACGCACGAACACAGCTCAATGCGCCGTATCCAAGAACAGGGCCACGGGACGCAGGCAACGCAAATCTATTCGTATGAGAGTTATATAAACACTTCCTTTTCCGCTTGTAGTAAATAAACAGATAAATAAATTGCATAGACAAATAAATACGACCATATCCGTACAATAATCCAGCTGTAAAACAAGGGCACTCAGCTCCGCAACGTCCAACCAAGAAAAGTCCAAAACTCGAAATTTGGAAACTATGACACACAACGCTTCAACCGCACTGAAACTATTTCTTTTTTTCAAATTGTCACGCTAGACACCCGGGGATGGGTTATGATCTTCAGACAGCGCAACCACTAGCACTAATAGTAACCCGTTCCCAGAGGCCGAAGGAAAGTTACGTGGGGGTACCACGTCATGAATCAGGAGAAAAGGAATGTGACATTATAAGATGTCACTGAAGACAGATACAAGTGGAGACTATGATCATGACCGCTGTGATGAGCTGACTGAAGTGATCGCCTATTACTGTCGACGTAATTATCTTGAATAATAAATTACTTCTTTTGAAACCATCAAGAAGACAACTGCATGTGATTTTATGAGCGGCTTATATTGAAATGTAGTTTCCACAAGGCCATTACCATGTATACATTAAAGGACGTTCATTTCAACGACTACTTGAAGTCGGTGTTTTTCATCTTGAGGAGAGTGGCTGTTACACAAAAAGCAACAACAAACACTGTACTGTACTTACATGTGTTATGTATACTTAACAGTATGCAATGTGACATTATAGGTCGCAAATTACAGATCCGATGGAAATTTGTATTCAGAAGTAACCAGTAACGACCATGTAAATATGTTGGTCTATCACAAAAAAAAATACCTATAATAAATGATTGAATCAAATTGTAGATAAATCAGACAGATCTACATGTTTCGGTCGTTTACGACCATCATCAGGTAGTTATAGATACAACGTCTCCAATTCTATTATTAGACTACGTTTCGCCATGCATTTATTCCTAATATTTTGTCATGCAAAAGTTTTTGTGTCGAATTACAACTTTTAAACATATTAAAATGTTCTAATGGATAAACAATGAACACTCGTATAACACCGAAATCCCAATAGAGGCCAAAAAGTCCGAAAACACATTATATACACGCTCCATTCCACCTTAAAACGTTTATATCAAAAGGTCGGATTAAAGTAGTGGCAACACCTCTATAGTTCTGAAATTACTTCATCACCTGAGGTAAACACACTTACATTCCTTCAATATAATCGCCCCCCCATGTGTACCACCGTCTGCCAAATTTGTGGAAGGCGTACACCATCAGCGCGTCCACTTTTGTTGATGTCCAGCAGTGACCGCCCTACAGCACGAATAATCTCCTCTCTTGTGTTGTAACGTAACCCTCGCAGTGGTTCTTTCATTTTGGCAAAGAGATCATAATTGCACGGACTCATACCGGGTGATTATGGCAGATGTTGCAGTATCTCCCATTGCCAGCGGCGAAGGAGATCTTTGACAGCGTCAGCAGTATGAGCCCTTGCATTGTCATGTAGGATGATGGGGTTCGTTGCCAACAAGTGTCGTCGCTTTCTCCTGAGTGCTGGATGAAGGTGATTACGCAGGAAACTGCAGTAGTAAGCAGCGTTTACTGTCTGTCGTTGAGGTACAGTGTGGTGCAGTATCACTCCATCAGTGTCATATGCCACAATGAACATCGCCTTCACATTGCTCTGTGTAAGGCGCACTTTCTTTGGACGAGGAGAGTCAGGATGCTTCCATTCAGTTGATTGTCGCTTCAATTGCGGTTCGTATGGGCGAGTCCAAGTTTCGTCCAGAGTGACGATCCTTCCAAGGGAGTCATCACCTTCCCTCTGGTACCGGTCTAACAAGTCCTGTGCAATTGCATAACGTTGCCATTGTTGCACCTCGGACATTGTATGGAGTACCCAACGCGCTCCAATTTTGCGGTATCCAAGAATATCGTGCAGAATGTGGAGCACGGTTTTGTGAGATACGCCTACCTCAGCAGCTAACTCCCACGCAGCCCATCGACGATCGACATCCGGCAAAGAAGAAAGAAGCTGAACTGTGTGGCTGTCAACATGGGGTCGTCCTGAATGGCATCCCTCCCTTCACGGAACGCTTTCATCCATCGTGCCACTGTGAGATATGGCAAAGCAGCATCATCATATGCTTCTCGCAGTCCTTGATAACAGGTTTGTGCACCACGACCTCGTGCAACTTCAATTTTTTATCCAGGAGCGCTGTTCTTGTTTCGTAAACTTGTTGTTAAGGTGCTTGAACTGGGCTCCTGCAGTTCAAGACGATGCACAATGCAACTCAATGAAACACAATCAGAGCCACTCACTGCTCTACTCCAACTGAACTTCTGCTATCAGCTACAGACGGCGCTAGTGCCACCTGACACACATCTTTCTTGTTACAGCAGTGTTGCCACTACTTTTTATCCAACCCTCGTATAATAAGATAACTTTGAGAAATATAATAATACATTTAAATAAGCTCTACTAATTTTAGACAAGTGTTCTAAGCTGACAGCTAATGCCCAACGTAAGGAAAACTACCGTGATTGGACTTGACAATATGCATCATGAAACTTACCAGTACCGTCTGATAGTTCACAACATGTGCCTCATGCAACTTACCAGAACCACTTGGAACGTAACGACGCACATGATGAGCTGACTGCAGAAGAAGTAGAACAGAAGCAACGGACTGAGCACAGCATTCAGCTCTTCAGCAAACCTGAAGCAAAGAGCAAACCATGCCTGCACTGCCGCTCAGTGAGTTCTGTATGCGGCCTGCTGCTGAAATCGTCATGAGACAAGCGCGGACACGGGTAGAACACAATTCACTCGTCCCCGAGGTAGTTCAGCCCAGTCTCTCCAAGGGAATGTCGCGGAGTACCTTAACAAAGGGCATTGCTGCATTCTCTTGCTTCCGTGTATAAGCCTGCCGATACTTTTTGGCCGGTGTCCTTCACTGTCAGCGCATGAGAGCGAGTCTATGCTACGAACTTGCTTCGTCTGCAGAGCGAATATTCGTAGGCTGGCAACTGGCACGTGGGAAAAGCACACAGTATCTACTAATAACAGCGATCCTATGAGTTCAACGAAATCCTCACCCAAATATTTCTCTTATTCTTTACTCACTATTACAGAATAACGCACAATTACCTTGAAAGCAAATTATTCATTATAGCTAAGAAATCGTCTGATTTCCACCATATACGCAACGTCTTTAACTCACGAGTTTATCGACAGAACAAACTGCGTGAAGTCTCGCTCAGTTTCCCAACTCATGTACACGCAGCATCTCTGTTAGTGGCGACAAATCTGGAAGATGCAAGCCCTTTGTACCTTTGCCACGAAAGAATTCAAACCTGAGGCTTACCTGATGATTGCTTTGTGATGTTTGATGCACTCAATGAAGTAAGCATCCAGTTCATTCCCAATGGAGATGCTCAAATCGTGTGGATATTCTTCGGCGTTACTTTCCGATCCCATCTGTGGTTCTTCGCGTTCCATGTTCTGCACAGGGAACAGCTCGTCCATGTCTCTGAGGGACATCACCAAAATCCTGAACTGCGTCGACGTGTGGATGATGAGTGTCATGAACACAGTGTTGACTGACGTGTAGTACAAGCACGCCATCAAGAAGCACATCGTCTGGATGCTGTAGACGATTTCGTAGACGGGAGAACGCAGTGCGTCGAAAGGCAGCCAGATGATGAAGCAGAAATATGGCAGAGGCTTGTCCGAGTCAAAGTTCATTTCCTGAGCTCCCTCACTGTACCTGTGAATGAGAGGCATGGCGATCCATGAGATAAGCATCCCATGCACAATCACGAACATTGTCCACGTCAGCAGCCTTGTTTTGCGTGCAGTGTTCGTGACTAGAATGGACTGCTCCCTTGTTGAGGCCAGTGTCTTCATCGTGGGAGTCAGTTTGGTTTCCAATGTGTCTACGAGTTGGAGGATTTTGTCGCTGTTCCTTGTTGTGTAGGTTGCCTGGATGTAGCACATGAATACACCCACCATGGTGAAGGCGGTGTCAGTGACTGCATCAAGATCACCCCAGAACTTGTACATGGCGAGACACTGTGCTGTGAATACCATGATGTAAAGAAGTACCATGAGGACCGGGTAAGCACGGTACAGCCGTAGTCTCCAAGAGCTTGAAGCAACGCGATGTGTGGGGAGAACTCCTGCATAAAACAGCAATGTTAGGTTCAGTCCCATCAGGTCCCATTTCTTGCCTTCAGTCCGAAGAAGTTTGCTGTCGCCGCCTCGTCTCCGATGTGACAGTCTGGTCAGCGGAAACATGCCGATACACGAACCTGTCTTCTGCAGTTGGCGCATTTCCCTTGGGCTCCGTCTGAAACCAAAGAAGTTGTGAAATATTCTGCATCCGTTTAGTGGAGCAGTAATCTGAATTTATTTGTTTCAATTGAGATTTGCAAGAGACTGATTCAGGCAATTACACTAGCGCCTGGCTGGCTGAAAGTTCGATTGACTGACATTTAACCGACTAACGTATAAACTAGTTAAGATTTGAGGATTTCACGGCGGTGACTATGAAGAAAGCAGTCTTTTGGGATTTGGCACCGTGTATATGTGGTGTTAACCGACGTTTCGGAGGAACGTATCGCCTCCATCTTCAGGGTAGAAGAAAAATATAAGAAATCTGCAAGCGAAGATAACCGGTACCGGTTCTCACGGTCTCTTCGCTTGCAGATTTCTTATATTTTTCTTCTACTCTGAAGATGGAGGCGATACGTTCCTCCGAAACGTCGGTTAACACCACATATATACGATGCCAAATCCCAGAAGACTGCTTTCTTCATATAAACTAGTTATTTTCTAACTAATCGGACGACTGAAAAAAAAACTCCATAACCGTGCAAATGATATTCTTTCAGCTGGATGATGACTTCATATGCAAGATTTTATTTTATTGCAGTGGCAGTCATTAAGATTGCTATATTCTGGGACGTGACACCATGCAGTCTTGTTGATCGTTACTGACGTTCCCTAAGAATGCGCTGCCTGCGTTTTCACAGTAGAAAGTACTGAAGATGGAGTCCGCTATTTTCTCCTAAAGAATCTATCGCAATGAACGGCGTAAAGTCGCAGTAAGTTAGAATCTTCAAGAAATCCATTGCTTTTGCGGAATCATGTTTTACCCTTGTATTTTTTTCAGGCACAATAGCATATACTGTTTCTATTTGCCTGCGACAGATTTTGCCCATTTTATACTGACTTAATTAACCACAGCATGGACATTAGGCGCAGAATACAATCCATTATTCCCTTAATTGCATATTTTTCATCCAACTGGTGTCACTTCCTTCTCCCAGATCAAAATTTACTAATTGCTACTTAGTTTTATAGACGAGATTAACCAACTGCCTCAGTTCTGCTGAAATCAAAAGTGTGGACTATTTTAATTTTGCCGTGCTCCGACTACTGAAGCTGACTACAACGGACTGATAAAGCTACATGCAGACAGGAAGCCTTGTCTTCAAAATTCTTGTAGTCAGCATTATTTTCCGCTTTGAATAAAATAACTTGTAGAATATTTTATGCGGGCACTTCGATATACTTAAAAATGAATGGAGCAATCACAAAGAAGGAAATGAGCTGGTACTTATGAATTTATAGGTCATGGTGGAGTATCCCTGTGAAATTCTTCCAAATCATCGTCGTTAACTTTACTTTATGTAAATCAGGTGTACGTTTCGTGCTTCTCGGGTTATCAAAATCGACAGAATATAAGGAAGAAATTAAACATCTGAAGACGTGGCTAAGAAATAGAGCTGCACGTTCCTTTATTACTCGCTGAGCAGGGCGTCATTAACATCAGAACTTAGGAGCAGAACTTAGAGGGACCCCTTCAGTCTTGAATACAGAGGTAGTAGAATTTTCCTATATGTTAGTACCAATCTGCCAAGCCATACATACGTGCTGAGGAGAATATTTAGTCCGAAGAGAGATGAAGTGACAGGAGATTGGAGAGAACTGCATAATGAGGAGCTTCATAAGATTTACCCTCCGCTAATTATAATTAGAATGATCAAGTCAAGGAAAACGAAATTGACAGGGCATGTAGCACGTTTTGGAGAAGAGGAATGCATGTAGGATTTTGGTGGGAAAGCCAGACGAAAGGAGACCACTAAGAAGACCAAGACGTAGGTGGGTCGATCATATTAAAATGGGTCTTGGAAGCGTAGTCTGGTGTGATACGGGCTGTACTGATCTGGCTCAGGATAGGCACTCTTGGCGGTATCATGTTAACACGGTAATATACACTCGGGTTCCATAAAATAGTGGGAAATTCTTGAGCAGCTGAGCAACTGGTGGCTTCTCAAGAATGACTCAGTACAATGGAGTTAGTTAACTAGTTACGTAGTTTTGCTTGCCTCCTGATTTGGCTTGCTTTACGACATTTTGAGCATCTGAAATATTTTAGCATTTAATTGGAGCGGAAGCGCAAGGAAGCGGTCGTGGCCCAATTTAATGTACTTCTCTTTCCATTCCCCTAAAGGGAGAGAGAAAATCCGGTAAACACCGCTAGGATTGCCGGCTGCTTGACCGAGATTCAAAGCTAGCACTGCCCGAATACAGGTGTAGACTGTTACTGCTACACCATCCCGTGTCATGGACAGCGAGTGAGATCATTTGCAAGAAACTGGAGCAAAATACGTTGATAAATGTGCCAAACCCTGTTGAACATTCATATTGTAAGGGCATTGATTGCCCCAATATCTTATAGCATATACACTTGTTGCTGGGCAACGACCGCGAAACAACGAGACAACGGTCTCTGTTAGGCAGAGGCCCGATCGCAACAATGAAGTACTGCTAGCAGCTGTGTTCTCTATGTGGTCCGCTCAAAGTGTGTACCACCCGACCGACCGAGTTCAGTGCAGTCAGTGGAGGTTGTGGGTGGAGTGGAGCGAGTTGGTTGGTGAGTGANGGTCATGAGCCCCAGCTGGGGCTCGACACCAAAGCAGACAGACTGACTGACCGTCAGTTGCAACGTGACTCTGACTGACTCTGACAGTGCAGTCAGTGGAGGTAGTGGGTGGAGTGGAGCGAGTTGGTTGGTGAGTGATTGAGTTAGAGGACCGCTGCGGTTCAGTCCTTGTGAGCTGTTGCTGTTAGAAGCTGGTAGCTGAGGCACGGGACCTCCACGGCCTGGTATAGCGTTAACTTTTCCCCCTTCTTTTACTTCACAGTATCCAGACCGGCTATGTGGCACACCCAGCTTCCTATCCAAATGGTAAAGTGGCCGTGGCGTGAAGCTGACCACTCACCTCTATCCAGTGCCGAGGTTAAAAATGTTAGAGGTCCGCCTCCATTCTCCACTCTTCATGGCGTGCTGATTAATTTATTAATGGCAGACACTTTGCCTTTTTTACTATTTCAGTGTTCCCTAGCATTCTATCGGGTACTAGGACCCACGTGCGCATCTGGTCTTGTTAGGGCCCTTCAATGAGGCCTGTCTGAAATGGGAGAGCAGACTTCATCGCGACAAGACATGCACACGTTTCTCTGTGTGGTAACCAGACGCAGGTTCTGTGAAACTGCGGCCACGTTGAGGGTCCGCAGCTGAGAACATGGGGTCAGTCTCGTGGTATAATTTCCAGGAACCGAAATACGCAAGGTATGTCACTACTAACGCAATTCAAAGGGAATCCGTTATGAAGCAGTAAGAAATCAAATCTCTCGACCCTTACCTTATGCAGATATTACCTGTAATGACCGCTACTGTATTCACAAAGAAATGCATGCGCGTGTCAGAATCCCCGCAAAGTGATTCACTGCCTCTCGAAACATTAATTTATTCAGAACCGCTTCTTGATGACATAACTGTCTCATTATAATTACTATAATTTTTACGCTACTTGACGGTACTGCTCTGGACTTGTATATGGGAGGTGCTCGGTTCGATTGTAGACCGGGAGTCCAGCCATCTTTATCCGGGTTTCTATGGCATTTCCCGGTCCAGTCTAGAAAATACTGGAATGGCACTGTCACGTGTATTAGTGACTATAGACAGGCTTTTGGATTGGTTAAATGGATTTACTGACACCTTGTTAACACAAGTTGCGGTCTTGTTTCTGTGGGGTGCCTCTCTGACGAGAGGACGGATATGTCGTTATATATGCTGCTGGCCCTTGCCAGCATAGTCTTTAGTCTTTCTCGGGTTCCGAGTCCCGTGAGACCCGCGACCATATTTTACTGTGTCAGATTTGAGACTTCCCTTTTCGTCGCCTACTACGACTCGCAGGGTCACGGTGGAGGTATTCGACCCCCTTGTGAAGGCAGAGTTTCGAGTGAGCAGTTAGTCGAGAGTTGGGATCTGCAAGGCGGGCTGAGAAGATGGCGCTATGAGTTCAGGTGTGGGATGTTATTCAGCAGGCAACGGCGTGACCACAGAAGCTGAAGAATCTCCACTGTGTTAAATCCGTTGCCAGAAAATAGCTAGTGGGGGCTGTAATAAACTGAGGACACTAGTGGGTACAACAGTGAACTGTAAATTGTGGCGATCAGCGATGACCTTGTAATTAACTGTAGTTACGAATTGCGTGTATAAGTGGTCAATAAATCCAATCATCCAAATCAAACCCCGCCTAATTATCACCCCTACACGTGATAATATGTTAACACCGACGCGCTGGAACTGTTATCCATTGGTAATATATAATTCCGAAACTTAAAATATGCAGGAAACTCATGCTTTATAGTAACTTTCACTTTCCACAGCACTTGGTATTGTTCCAGATAGCCAGATTATTCTAATCCCTTGAACCTTTGGGACACCGTATAGAAAATATAATATTAAAAGCACAGGATTTGTAAGACTGGAAGTCCGTAATCTAGAAGAGTAGGCTAAGATCTGCAAGAAACTCCTTGCATTGAACCAATCAGATCATAAGATGCTGAGACAGGAAAGAGGGCATAACCAACAACGCAGATCCACGTGCCTAGGGGACAACAAGGAATCAAAACTCCTACATCACTTCTCTCGAAATGCGCGTCACAAATCCGCTTGTCTACGGCCACCGACAACCGTCAAGAGGCGCCTCCATCGGCGTTTCCAGAAACTCGTTACAATTGACCTCGACAGGAGTAGAGAAGAGAACAGTCTGTCATATTTCTGTTCCTTATTAACTGCAGCTGACAGCATCTTGCACGCTACAGTATCAGATGATAGGGTGACTGGTGAATAAGGAATTGGAAGGGACTTGGAAGGAAGCGTTCATAGTCTAGTATTAAATAATACCTAGAAACTTAATATAGGGCACGCGGTAGCGTAGTTGGTTTCGACATTATGCTACAAGCCGGAACTTCGCGGGTTCGATTCCCGAT